CCATACAAACGCTACAGCGCTACAACCATACAAACGCTACAACGCTACAAACGCTACAACCATACAAACGCTACAAACGCTACAGCGCTACAAACGCTACAACGCTACAACCATACAAACGCTACAGCGCTACAACCATACAAACGCTACAGCGCTACAACCATACAAACGCTACAGCGCTACAACCATACAAACGCTACAACGCTACAGTGCTACAGCGCTACAATCATACAAACGCTACAAACGCTACAGCGCTACAACCATACAAACGCTACAATCACTACAGCGCTACAAACGCCACAGCGCTACAAACGCTACAACGCTACGACTTAGAATTGTTTTGGCCGAAGCCTCAAAATACTTCGCTATCTTCATTATTGATAAACTTTATATATTAAATCAGCATTCGTATTCTTTAACGCACTAATCTCTCAGCAAGTTGAAGAAGGTTGAAATGATTACCAGCAAATGTTCCTTCCTAAACGATTACAAAACTAACACCATGGTACATCTACATTTTTTTTATTATGCTTTGAACGTCACTGTCACATTGCGCTATCTCTTATCATACACATCACGTAATAATAGAGAGTTTAAGCATCACGTTAACGGTAAACGTGAAACGTCTGTTGACTAGCAAAAACTTCTTTAAAATTAGCTAAAAGGAATCGGAAAACTCTCCAAGTGTAGATGAAGCGATGAAATATGTTGATGGTATGCGTTGTAGCGAGCTATATAGTCACACCGAGGATGATTGTTCAGATGCAAGCAAGAAAAAAGGTAATTTTCTTTGTTTATTATATCAATGGAAATCAATGTCATGGTAACGTCAAACTCAATCCTTTATGATCTCTTGTACTAATCAAACAGGATGTGATAATTTTGTGTCGATGGATGGGATATGGAAACTGCGCTTTCCAAATTGCATGTATACAGTCAAGACAGAAGTATCTGGACTGCCAACTGTCAACTTTCCAGATGTTTGTCCACAAGAACCGGTAACTCGAAATTCTGCAAAGACCACTGCAAACTCGCGAAAGAGAATGGTGTTCCCACCGAACTAAGGGCTTTCTTACACGAGTATTGTGGGATCCCAAGAAAAACAGATGGTAAGTAAAAAACGCAAATAGGAAAACGGTTTTCTCCTTTTTTTAAATCAGACTACTTAGAATGTTGTGCTGTTTATCATCCTCCCATAGTCTTTATACAACCGGCATTTTTCAATGCATTATGGGACGGTTATCTCAGCTCTCAACCAACCAAGGCTTGCTGGGAGTTGAGATAACCGTCCCAGAATGCATTGCAGTCATTGCAAGTGGCGCCCGCAATATGGACTCAGTGCTGAGACCTCATTGAGTCTTTTCAAGACAGAATTATATAAGCTTACATAATTCTCTCTTGGCCTTTTATTTATTTTATCTATTATTAAAATGAACATCAGAATTGGAAAGATCACCTCTATATTAGTAAGAAGGCAAAGGTTTAGCTCATAATGTGCACCACAAGAGAACTGGAATTAAGCGCAAAATCGTAAATTTTACAAGAATTTTTATGGAAGAATGCTCTGGATGACAAAATTATATTTTACTTATATATAATAAAAAATTTTCATTTTATTATAAAATTTTAAATTTCATATTTAATGCCATTTCTCCTAAAGTCAAAATAATGAGCTACTACTTGGCCTTCATAATATTTAAGTGCTCTTTCTATTTCTGATGTTCACTTTCGTTTTAAGAAGATTATGTCACGTGACCTGTTAGTGCAAGGTCGCCTGTTTAATATACGATGTGGTTCTTTTTATAATTACATTAATAAATGAGAACTCATTAACTCATTTTTTTGCTTGTTTTGGACGAGCTAATTATAGACTTTATTGTTTTTTGTAGATTCCACATTAAATGAGCATGTTCAATCCAGTGATGTAGAAAAGGTTGAAAGCAAAAGAAAGCAACTTCCCATTGGAAACAGTTCTTCAGAATTGACTAAAATTCAAGGTAAATTACCATTGCGTGAAAGTTCACTCTTTTTACGGTAAAAGCGCGCGAACAGCGCAGAAAAAGAAAGCTTTTAAAAAGAAGCCGTATTTTACTGAAATCAAATATTTATCTACCCCTTTCTTTTAGAAAAAGACGCAATAGGTGTTTAGCAACATCAACCATTAACTTCATGTCGAAAATTAGAAATATGAAGCGTTATTGTGTTACAAGTACGTGTGGACATGTAGCCTTCACATTACGTGGGTGAAATTGTAGTGATTTCGATTTGATATCCCATCGTCAATTTTCTTTTATTTCCTGTAAAGGTATTATCATGTACTTTCAAAAAAAAGATAGAAAGATAGAAAGATAGAAATCACTGTCCCCCTCAACGTCACCATTATCTTCTTCATCGTTATTTATAATTAATTTCTATATTGCAGGAACAAGCTCATTTCTGACGAAAAACCAAGGTCTTTTGACTGTGAACACCGAGTCAGCAGATACAAGCAGTGATCCTTGCAATAAAGACACTGGAGAAAAGCAGAAAACATTGCAAAAAATGGTCCCGCGGTCTCCTCCATTATGTTAGAGGTGGAGCCCACATTGAATTCCGTTTGCCGTTTCGTTATTGCGGTCATGCTATCAACTAAAGATTTCTCATTAGCTTCCATTCATATGCATTTTTTGTCGTTCGACTTTCTTTGAGTGCTTGAAATACACCATAACACAGTAGTAGTAATAAAAATATATTGTTACTGTTCGGTAAAAAAAATTAGAGATCTTATACACATTTTTCCTTTTTTTTTTTTTTTTTTTTTTTGAAACGGTATTTTTTTTTCAAAATTTTAACTTATAAGCTCAGAGCTTATATGTATTTGAAATGACACGAAATGCCACTTCTATCAGCCAATCAGATTGC